TGCCACTGTACTTATAAACAAAAAGAAAAAACATCGTCATGTTTATGTGTTGAATACTGCAGTCCCCGAAATTAAATCGATGAAATGTATAAAAAATACCACAACAGATTTTAAAATAGGTAATGTTTATTTAATCGGTAAAAGGTACTGTTGAGTACCCATCAGTTAAAAACTCAAAATATTTCATACATCTTTTATTTCACTTGATTTGTAAGTAACGTGGATCTATATGGAGTTAATATAATTTCACATTATAATTATAGTATTAATATTATTATTATTCAAATAAATACAATTATCAATAGAAATTTCTTTTTAGATCTGCTAATTTCAACATGAGTTAATTTAAGATATAAAGTCGAAATAACAATGAACCTTTGCCACTGGCCCACACCTGGTAAGCCTTTATTTAAATATTAATTTGTCATATCAAATTTTTGTTATTGGCCCTGCAATAGCGGGGCCTAAAATCCGCTAAATCGTCCCAACTGATAATTTTGGTCATTCCACTAATCTTGAATACATTTTATACAATAATATTTGAATTGAAAAATAAATAAATATTTTAGGTTGGTGTCATTGCGGCGGCAAGATTGATGGGATTTTTACATTTTGATATTGGTACTTTTGATTTTTTATTTTTTTATTATCTCGTGTTATTATCACGATTTGTTATCAAGGGGAATAACTGATTGAGGTCCTTAGATCATATACAATGATATATGATTATGTATATGATCTAAGTTGAGGCCCCTTTGGGGAATAAACAGATAAGGTGATAAGATTTTGTATAATCTATATCAGTGTTTCCCAACTTCTTTTATCCGCGGAACCTTTGCAGGAGCCTTAACGTTTTGTGAAACCCCAATATTTTTTCTATAATATTAATACAGACATATGTTTTGTACACTTAAATGAGTGGGTTATCGGACACTTCCGGCACAAGAGTGTCATTAATATAAAAAAAACAAGACGGCTTTATCATTTTATTTTTTTTATTACTATTATAATATTATAAATGTACATGTCAAAGCTTAAAATTTAATATTTGTCTCTCATTACTTCTAAGATAGATTCAATGAGAATATTGGAATCTTTCCATAGTTTTATTCAAAACTGTTTTTAAATTTGAAGTTATTCCTGAAAATTGGATTCGTAAGTCTGGAGCCGCGTTTAGTTGATTTCAAAACATATTCTTAATCTTTGTATACGCCGAAAAGTGGTTACCGGTGTTTTTTCCGAATCGAAATTCCCGAATGTTCTTTTTGTAGCGACCTCGTGCAGGTTAGGTTAACCCCACACCTGACACCAAGCTTATGTAGCGAGCTTCGTGCAGAACACTACGATCACTGACACATTAATTATTTAACGACGTAGCACGTTGTATGAAATCTTGAGACGTGGGTTGAGAGAGATAGGTAGGTGAATAAATTTAACACTGGTACATTAAACTTATAAACTTACTGTTTTTATTAATTTATCACAATAAATTAACAAACAGTTAAAACACAAAAAAATTAAATAACAAGTTATTCTGGGCTAAGAATTATATACTCGCGGCGATGTGGCTGTAACAAAGTCCACGACGAGCAATAATTTATTTAACAGAGGAAATGATCAGTCTAACTACCTATCTACATCTGAATAATGCTAAATGCTCAACCCGTATTTATACAGGTTCCAATGACGTAAGAGTGGCCTAATTCTAATATTACTTTATTTTGCCCTCTATTTAGCATTATTATGTAAAAACGTGAAACTACGTGTTGTTTTCACCTTTACCCTGGTTTTCCTGCGTATATGCGAATTTAATATATTATCTATTTTACACATATACTATTTTAATCTATTAAATAATCAAAATATTATTTTGATTATTAAATTTAGCTGGACCTTGGCGAATTTATTAATATGCGTAATAAGTTATTTTTGATTATTAGATATTAATTAATTAAATGCTGATTATAAAATACGCCTAGCCTTGGGCTTACTACATTTTTCCCGAATGCTTTTTTCCCGACGGTTATTGTTCCCGAAATGGAAACAAAAAAAAATCAAAAGAACACAATATTAACAAAATTAACTTAAAATCAAGGACGGCCTGGCCCATCGGGATACGGATTAATATAAGTTGAATAAACAAATATAAATAAAATGGCACGCCCGCTGGAAGGTTAATATGGATATTTTGGGATACAGAAAAGTATTATTATTATTGTGTACGCTTCGTCGACACAAATGAGGGGCAGGGGTTGCTGAGGAATTAAGTCAAGTTATGTGTAATAGTTGTAGAAACTTTACACTGTATTGTTAAAAGTATTGATAAAATATAATTTATACAGTAACGCTCATCAAGTCTTAACAGTTACTTATAAGTATTTATTGTGTCTTCCTGTTACCCAAGTTCCCTGTGAACGATCTTTTTCTACTTTAAATTATATAATAAATAGGTTAAGAAGTAAACTTACTAATAAAAAATACTAAAGCGTTTATGTTAATGTCAGTCGAAAAAGAAATTTCAATAAATATTGATAATGATCAAATAATTGATTTATTGTCACAAAAAACTAAGCTTCTTTCAACATGTCTTTAAAATGTCTTAACTTATTATTTATATTTGAAATATATAATTAATTATATAAGCTTAATTGATGTATGTATATTCTTTTTGGTTTGCTTATAAAATATAATTTATTATAAAAAATTCAATCTTATAGTAGGTATTTCTTATTTATAAAAATCAATGACTAATTGAACTTTTTTCAGTTGTTTAAAGAGAATACATATAATCACAGAGATAGGTGTAACTAGGCCTTCGAAATTGAATTGACATGAACAGACAATAGTCTCACAAAAAATATTGATACTTATTGAAGGTTTATTTTTTTCTTTTTTTTTATGTTCTTTTACATATAATAAAAACTAAAAGATTAGATAAATAAATAATTATTAAATACATTTGTAGTGTTGTTGGGGGAAGGTAGAACACAAGCTCAGCCCTCTTCCACCTCTCCACCCCTCCACACTATAGTAACAACCTATAAGCTAAACATTAATTTGAGACCTGGGTAATAAATTTTCCAGGCCTGAATTTTTCTCCCATACCGTCCCTGCTTACAATTGCTAATTATTAGTATTATATTGTTCAAAAACTCAATGTTCAAAAAGTTTAATCGAAGTATTTATTATTTGATTACGATATTGGAGATAGTATGTGAATAGATTTGTATAAAATGAGTTTTACAAAAACTATTACAAATAATAATTGCGTTGCAAATAATAATGGTGTTTTGTGCATTTTATTTAGTAAGTAAAATTGTAGATTTTTAATAGTGTAGTTTTAATTATATAGCTGATGTACCTATGTATTTTTTGATTTATATTATTCAAATTCATACGTACATAGTTTATGTATAATTTATATGGATTATTATTTATTTTCTATAAGCTTAAAATGTTTTATAAATAAAATAATAAAATATATTTTTATCACCTTACAATAATATTAGTATTTTAAATTTAACAATAACCGTCGGAAAAAAAACTTTCGGGAAAAATACCATTCGGGAAAAATGTCATTCGGAAATTTCGATTCGGAAAAAAAGGTTTCGGGCATGTGGACTTTCGAAAAAAATACCATTCGGGAAAAATGACGGAAACAACGAAAAGCTACAAACTACGCACCTCACATCGGGAAATGTGTCAATTCCAGTTCTATATTAGTTCTATGTTCAAATCATAATTCAAATCAAAATATTGCTAATTAATTTATATTTTCCCAAATTTCTCACGGAACCCTTCGCGCAAGCTCACGAAACCATTAGGTTCCGCGGAACACAAGTTGGGAAACACTGATCTAGATTGTAGAACAGCAGTTCCCAAGGTTTATGGATTATAATCTATTAAAATTTTCCAGACTATTACCACAGAATCAGGGGTGTGTTTAGATAGGGGCCATGGGTCCCGTTGTCCAGAGTGGCACATTTTTAAATATTTAGAGGGACAGACAATTTTTATTTTGTACTTTACACATTGATGCAACTTACGCAAATGATTTAGCAACATGTTTTCTAAATGATTGTGTACAAATTTAAGGCCATATAAAAAATATTAAAGTTAAACTTACAACAATACAGATGTTACAGTTTATAAGAGAACACAATTTTACTAGTGTTTATCCTTATGCTGGAGTAACTTTACGTATTTTGTTGTGTATACCATCTACAAATTATAGTGCAGGGCGTTCTTTTTCCACACTAAAAATAATAAAAAACTATTTTCGCTCTACAGTGGCACAAGACCGGTGCTTGGCTTTAGCGGTATTAACAATTGAAACTGAAATAACCATTTTATTAGATTTTGAAAAAATAATTAATGATTTTGCTAGTTCTGAATTAAGGAAGAAAAATATTTAAATTTTGTATTTATGTTGTATATCTAGCAGTTAATAGAGGTTTTAATAAATAATATTAATTAGTAACAACATTTTTTTTTTGACTGGAAGGAACCTTACCCTGAAATTTCTAAATGCACCACTGCACAGAATACAAAATCTGTGTAAGATATTAGTAAATACCCCTACTATCTAAAAGGTGTGTTAGGCTTTACGTAAAACCTGTATTATCGGTTATCGCAACCCATATAAACCGATATGTAATGAAAAATTGTATTTTTTTATTTTTTTGTTTGTACTTATGTAAAAAGTTCGTTCCGCAGAAGATAATTAAGAGTACACTGTATAAATATAATTTGAAAATAATAAACCAATAACAATAATTATAATAAGGCGTTATACATAATAAAATAAATACTTAATAAAAAAAAAATTAGTCCATAAAATTACCCCATAAAAAAGTCCTGTTACCCCTTGGGGGTAATTAGCCACAGGTTGGGAACCACTGTTGTAAAAGCTATGGTAGGAGGGGCACAGTGTACGATATCATCAACCGTGGGTAGCCGGTTAGGTTGTTATAAAACTTGTTAACCACGGTATCTTCAATTGTTATTATCATTTTATAATGTTCACAACGTCCTAACTTAGCTCTATTTAAAAATTTGAATTCTTGTAATGTATATTATTTTGTTTAGATGCTGTTTAAATGTGAAAATTCAGACTTTACTGAATAGTGTAGAAATTGTTTCAATTGTGACGCACTAATATTCTTTTCACGATGGACACTCTATCAGAGATCAAACGAAAAATGGACACCGGGAACACAATACTAGTTGCCGCTGTAAATTTTTCAATAACATTCACTTGATTATTTTTTATTTTAATTCTATATCACCTAATGAAATATTTTATTCGTTTTTAGGCCACGGACAGTTTGGTCAATATTATTAAATGTAAAATCAAAGGAACCCGTACAGATATGACAAATGTAATTATTCATATATAATTTTTTTATTATTTATTTTTTTCTAAGGATCTTTAATTTATTTTTATTTGTATTAATTTTGGGCACAATTATATTAGTAAAAATATAATTGGCATATATTTAAAAAAATCCATTACCTTACACCATTATTTTCTCGGGCAATTTTTATGAATTTCATTCCTTAGTTAAGCTTTAACTATATATTATTACATCTAACCAGCTAGTGACCCTAAGTTAGATAAAGTAAACATTAGGAGTAGTATTTTGTAGTAATATATATGTTACAGGTAATGTTAACATTTGGATAATGTCGACATTATCCGGCTAAAGTCAACATTAGCCAATTGTAATCATTACCCGCCATGCATATTATTAAATGTTGGCTAATGTTAACATCAACCGGTTAATATGATATTAATCAAGAACTTTTGGATAATGTTTTAATAACCATAAAAATTTAACGTGCATTAAATAAAATCATTATAAATCATTAATAATATTAAATATATTTAACATACAATAAATTAGTAATTACCATAAAATACATAATATTATTAATATGAATTTATTTTTCATTTTTAATAATCTAACCTACTAATAATACAATATTGAATTTCATTTTATATTATAAATTATTTCTTAAAATATTATTTTAAGTACCTATAGAATTAAAACGCTAATGTCTTTAACCTAATGTTTTAACCTTTATTATTTCATGGTATGCTTTCATGACATTTTGAACTGCACTAAATGCTAGATGATTTGCATTTATACATCGATATATCGATATATTCACTTTATTAGTAAGATAACTGACTAACTCAGTTACAAGTCAAGATAAAACATTATACTTTGGAAGTCCAACACTTTATTATTGTATAAAATGCTAATAAAAACTCTATAGTCTTTTTAATATACAATTTTTAACATTATCCAATATTGACTGGTTAAGGTTAACATTATCCGGGTAATGTTAATAATTCCTGTTTATAAACGAAAAATTACACATTAGCCATAACAGATGGTTAATGTTGACATTACCTGTAAAATATAGATTATATTAAATCATTGGACTAAATGACTAAATTTTGATAAACAATTCCAACATCTATTTAAGTATAATCATACAATCAAAATACATGATTTATTTTTGAAAATCAGAACTTTTTTTACATCCAAGGTTTAAAAGGAGTTTATTAAAAATTGAATGAGGACTAATAGGAACTCTAGTTTATAATATCTTATAGAGGTTTTTAAAAGAAGTATAAATTTCAAAAATATTAACTGAAAATGATTTCTTTGGTAATTTTATTATTATTTTTTTTTATAGATACCTGAAATGTTACTCCTCCAAGAATATTGTTGTCATCAAAATCCAATAATTTGTACTACCAATTTTAAAGCTTTATGTACATTCATGATATCTAATAATTATCAAAATCAATTATTGATTGATTGGCTGGTTCTTCTAAGACCCCAAACTAAGTGTAAAACAGGATTTATACAGGAAATATTTGAGTTAATTGTTTTTTTATTGAATAATGATGAAAATATTAATAATGAATGTACCAATACACTGATTGATCTCATTATAAAAATAATGGATGAAGATCTTGATGATTGGCGTATAGTTTTATTTCACATGCAAATCAGTACAAATTTTGATAATCACAAGTAAAAATTATTTTATTAAAACTGTTTTAATTATTACAATGTATTAAACAATAAATGTTTTAGGTTTATTACAAATTGGTTGAAAGTCACTAAACGTTTGTTTAAATTTATTTTTTTATCACCAACTTCATCCAATTATCGTGCTTCATTTGTGAAATTATTTATTGAAATAATCTGCTTTGTCTCTGATTATGATTCGCTATTTGAAGTTCATTCTTGGCTACAGGTAAAATATAGAATTTTTTTTTTATTATTTCGCTAATATATTAATTTGCAGGTTGATAACTTGGATGACACTATAATTCAATACAATATTCTTGAAGAATTTTGTGACAAGATTCCTGATACATTACATGAAATAAAATATAATTTATGTTTATGTTTAGTTCAAACAGCTACTCAACTTATATCATATGGTTTTGATCCAACTCATATGTTACTGCGCTTAAACAGTCTTTTGAAAACCTGTCCATGTGCTTCTGATATTTCATTGCTATGTATTTCTTCATCTTTGAGTCAAAGTCCTTCAAAATTTGTACTAAAAATGATGAACTTTTGTAATACATATAATTTTTTTTCTTTTAATTGTTTCAAAATATCATCTGACTATTCATTTATGTTTAGGCTTGAAAGTTATTAAAAACTTTGGGTGTCATAAAATAGTTGCTCAGACTGTTATAGCAAGTATTTTACAGTGGAATCGTGCAAAAGTTATTGATTGTGATACAATGAATTTGTTTTTATCAACTGTTAATTCTGATTGTAAGATTTCAATTATATTTTTCTTAAAATATATATTACATTTATATTTAAATGTTTAGTAACGGTATCTAGATCATGTACACAAAATCATAAGTTATCATTATATTTAACGACTGATTCAAGTTTAATAATACCTTACTTATTGATAAAGTAAGCCATTTTGTTTGTTTTTAATGCACATAATATTTTCAAATTAATTTATTATGAAGTTATTTTACATTTTTTTAGGTTATCTTCAGAATTTTACAGTAAGCAGTTTTTCTCTAAATGGTTGTCTGAAATTAATTCATCTAGTGAGTTAATAAATGATACTACTTTTGGTTTCTATTTGGCTGGTCTTTACTTAAGTAAAATTGGTGACCACTCTCAACAACAAGCAATATTAAAATTGTTAAATAAAAAAATATTATTACCACTTATAGCTTATGCTGTAGATCTTGAAACAAGTCATTATAACAGATTTGATTTAATAAAAGCAATTCCAACAACAGCTTGCACACAGGTTAATATTTTATTATTACTTTTTTTTTTTGCATGCAAATTTTCAATTTTACTTTTAATGTAAGAATAATATATATAATAAATTAATAACCAAGGAATAATACCTAGTATAATATAAAGTTTAAAACGAAACAATAAGCTCTAGTTCTGGAATACAAAATTAACATTCAATATTTTATTTGTTCATAATTCAGAGGAGAATATTTAACTATTTTTTTTAATATTTTTTTAACTAAGGCTTGTAGCATTCTTTATCCATAACTGTAGAAAATGATTTAAATATATGTTTTATTACATTATTGTTAATGAAAATCATTAAAAACTAAGGTGAAAATATTTTATATTTGGTTATTCTTATATGTTTTACTTTTTATAGTTACAAGAATTTTTATTTAAATAAAAATTTAAATTTGATAGCTTAAATAATCATTTGATTAATTCATACCATAATTTGTTTCAATTTGGACTACAATTAGTGATGTATTGCTAAAATAAATCATGGGTATATGCCTTATTTTATGTAGTAACTATCATATGGTAGGAACCAACAAATTTTTTTCTTGCTTTGCTTGAACAATATTCACTTTACTTATATTCACTCAAAACCAGATAGAATATCATATTTTTGTATTTATTCTATAATACTTCTTTATGTTTAACAAATGGACTATGATTTATTATTCACAATTTCACATAATCTTTGGGATCCCACTTTTCTAATAAAAACTTATTAAATTATTACAAATTTGAATTTTTCATAAAAAAAAAAAAAAAAGAAAAATAATAATAATATATCTGATATCGAATCACATCATAAATATAACTACAAGTTGTATTATTTATATTTGTCAAATTACAAGTTATACACTAGGGTACGGTCGTATACCCGCGTATCATAAATTTCTTCTAAGCTATACGCCATGGATAAAAATAGCATATTGGGTATACACCCTATACCCTCCAATACATCACTGACTACAATATAATATTTTTAAAAGCCAACATTTAATTAATTTCTGAATTTATATTAATTATTATACATTATAATATTTAAAATTGTCACTTCATTTATTTTCATTTATAATTTTAATTATTTTTATGTTTTCAGGAAAACATATCATTGATTATAAGTTTGATAAAGCGTTTTGAAAATAGCAATGAGGAAGTACTAAATATACTAAGTATCGATATGTTTTATGATTTATGGATAACTGAAGTTAGATGTTATAGATTTTTATTATACTGTCTATCTAAAGATAAATCAGGATTGCAATGGAATATTGTGAAAGCATACACTATTAAAAAATTAGTTGAATCAAAGTAAAAATACTATTTTAATTAAAATAAATATTGTAATGTTGTAATAATTATATTTTAATTTTCAGTCCAAATTCAGACTTGGTTGCTGTTTTGAAACAAATGCTTGAATTATATATTAAACAATCTATGTACTTGCCAATGAAATTGGCTTTGGAATCTTTAGTTGATCTGTGTATCACTAAATATATGAACCCAGAAGCCCTTCTAAAAATTATTGATAAAAACATTGTTAATATTCATCATCCCTCTGTTATATCCAGGTATAATTTTTATTATTTTTACTAAAAGAATTAAAATAATAAATTTGAATTTCAATGTTATTTAGTTATTGCAATTTGCTAGCTGTGTGTGCCAATCAATCTACAGATAGTAGAAAACGTATTGAATTTTTTCAGAATCTCTGGTCTATGGTAGTACACCCAAATGATAATACTGTTAAATGTGCTCTAAAGTAAGTTTTTAACTTAAATATCTTTTATGAAATACTCATTAATTTTAATTATTTTAGGTCTTTGTGTTTATTAGATTTAGAATGCATACCTCTAAATGTTTTACCAGAAAAATTTCAAAGTTTTCCAAAAATTGTTACTCAATTAGAAGATTTAGAAAAAATTGAATTATTTAATGGCCCTATACCAGGTACAATTTTGATACATAATTTAATTATCTCTTTTATTAATATATTTTGCCTTTTTATTTTAGGTGAATGTTGGGTTAAGTTCCTTCAAAGTATTAATAAAATGTATATGAATGAAGCTCAATTAATGTTATCGGTTTGGCTGAGACGAGAATTGGAAAAAAATGTTATAACTAGAGTTCAATCTGACCGTAAGTTTTCTAATGTTAAATTTATATTCTTAAGTAAAGTTTTTGTTAAATGATTGTAGATGAACCAAAGAATTTAAGACATCTTTCTAATCATAGCATTGCTCGAGGATTAATATCGTTTATAGCTCCAAAACGTAAAAAGATGTCAGAAGCAGACGAAGATACCAAAGTGACTTGCTTAGCTATTATAAATGGTGCTGATAAACCAATGTATCCTCTCGACTGGTCTTTTTTAGAGAAGTATTTGAGAGAAGGGTCTGAAAGCAAACTTTGGAAAGAATCTGTTGTTTTAATTGCTAAACAAGCAACAAGATCTACTTCTGCTTTTCGACTTTTATACTTATGTTATAAACATTACTCACACTTAGATGTAATATTATTGAATTACATTATTATTTATTTTTCAATAATTTTGAATTATTTGTTTAGGAAGTTCATATAAAGTTGCTCTTAACAACTCTTTATAAAGTTTCCAATATTATATATCATGATTTACAAAAGCAATTTGTGACAGATATTGTAAATGAAGTTTTGAACAACATTGTAAATGAATCAAACTTAAGCAACAATAAAGGTACAAATATTTATCTATTAATCTATAATTTATTAAAAGCTGATTGCATTACTTTTGATGTCTAGGTGTTGATTTACTATGTCATATTTTATTGGAATGTAAACATATATTACTAAGTCCAGAAACTCATTTGACAAACGTGAACTTTATATGTGATATTTTGGAAAATATTTGGTGTACAATATATTTAAATAATAAGGTTTGACCAGATGTCAATGCATGCTAGTTCAAATTTAATTTATGATAATTTTTTTTTTTTTCTAGAAAATACTTTATGCATTTCTTGATTGTTGTTTAGTAATGCCAACAGATGTGTTAAATAATTTAAGACCATATCCAATTCAAGAATCAATGCTCTCAAAATTTATTATTCTTTGTTGTGCACAGAATTTTATTTTTAGTAATGTTTCTTTTGATGGATTAATTAAATGTATTCAAGCTTGTAATCAGTTTGCCAAGTACAGTACTTAAAATATTATATTATAATTTTTCTTTAAAACTGTTACTATTGCTTATTTGTATGTATATATATATATATATATATTTTTTTTTTTAGAGAAAATGACTATTTGTATGCCATAATTATTGACGTTTTTAAACTTGAGGTTTTAGTTCCTTATCATCACGATTTTATTGGTAATTTCATGATTTATCTAGCAGGATTTTCGAAAAAAGAAAAAAATTGTTAGTACTATTTGTTTATTAAAAATTATTAATTTTTTTAAGTAAGCAAAAAGTTGAAATATATTGTTTATCATATATATAAAAAGTAATTATGCTTTTTATGTATATGATGGAGTAAAACTGGTTCTTTTGATTTACTTATAGTAATTTATGATTAATATTTAGAAAGTTTTTAAAACCTTAATATTTTTTTTAGGGGTCATACAATATAGAATAATAAAATATTAATTGTATTTTAAATTTACCTATTTAATATATCAGAATTAAATATAATTTGTATTTATGTATATAATATTTGTTTATTCTGTCATATTTATTAAAATTATGAATTTTACTTACATTTTATCTCGAATTTGAGATCTATACAATTTTTCCAGATAAATATGAATATTTTGTACACCCATAAGTTGTAATTTAACAACATTTTTATTAATATTCAGTTTCATTTTTTCAGAATTTATTTGGTGTCTTATGCTCAATTTTTGTAAATCTCATTTTAACATTATCAGGTTATGACTGTATTAGTTCTATCGTTGATAAAAAATGTGACCATTCAGTTTTTCCCCTTGCTTTAGCAACATTTGCCAAACATTCGTCTCAGGTAGGTTAGAATAGTGTATGGTATTTGTTAATTATTACTGAATATTGTTTTATTTTTTATTTTTAAGTCTTCTAAGATTGTGGAATGGCTGAAAACTATGAGGACTATCCAATATTTACCTGAAGAATATTCTAGACTATTTTACTGCTGTCTAGTGGCATTTAAAAGTGATAAATGTTTATTAAAATGGTCAAGCAGAAAACAAATTTTATTATATTGATTGTCATATTAAAGGTAATCATTTTTACATTTTCTCAATGGTTATCTATTGTTCCATTCGTGTTTGCTGGGTCATTTGTTTTATAACCATTAGGATTCATGGTATGCCATTTCCAAAAGTCTTTACCTGAAATAATTATAGCTCGAAATTTAAATGTATATCATTAGTTATATGTAACCAAGTGTAATTTATAATGTAACCTACACATATCTTCTAAAGTGTAGTTTGCTCTCCAGCCAAGATCATTTTTTGCTAAATCACAATTTGCATACATTGACACTATGTCACCTTCTCGGCGTGCTTCTATTGTGTATGGTATTTTTACACCGGTTACTTTTTCAAAAGTTTGTAATAGTTCTAATACAGAAGTACCTTGTCCACTGCCTAAGTTATAAACCTAAAATTAAAATTTTATTATACTACTATAATAAATATAACTTGAATGTATAATAGTATTAACTTATGTTTTTAAATATTAAGGAATATGTATTTTATATGTAAATAAAAATTATATTTGATTTTAATAATAAAAAATCAGTTATAAAATCACTGAAAATTTCAAAATAATTTATATATATATATATATATATATATATATATATATATATATATTATATTCTTCAATAAGTACCATAGGATTAAGTTTTGCAATTCATATACCTGAAAGTAAAAATGTATATTAAAAATTGATCATAATAACCTGTAAATGTAAATGATTAGATTGCAATTTTTTTAAGGCTGCTACGTGTCCTTCAGCTAAATCCATCACATGAATATAATCTCTGATACCTTTAAAATGTTTAAAAAAATATATATATATACAAATATTAATAGCTATCAGTCAGCTAGCAATTTATCAATTTATTTTATGTAATATACCAGTGCCATCAGGAGTTGCATAATCTCCACCATAAATAGACAAACTAGCCTTTTTACCTAACGCAACTTGAGCTATGTATGGCATTAAGTTTGAAAAATTTGTTGTTGGGTCTTCACCAATCAATCCTGATGAATGAGCTCCTACTGGATTAAAGTACCTTAGGCTTATAATATTCCATTTCTAAAATAAAGCAAATTAATAGCCAACATTTTTCACTTTTAATCATACAGTATGCTTAAAACATTTCATTATAAACATTTGTCATTATTACTTGATCAGAGTTTACAACATCTTTAAGTATATCTTCAATGAAATATTTCGTTCGACCGTACACATTAGTGACATTGCCGATTGGGTGATCTTCACTTATTGGTAAAAATGTAGGATTTCCATACACAGTACATGAGCTTGAGAATACCAAACGATAACATTTATGAGAAGCCATCACTTCCAAAAGATTCATTGCGCCTATAATGTTATTCTTGTAGTATAATAGTGGCTGTTTCATTGATTCACCAACAGATTTCATCGCAGCAAAGTGTATAACACAGTCAAATTTATGCTATATTTTGATTTAGGACAACAAATATGCATTAACCCTTTTTTTTTTATCACAATCATAAATATTACTTTAGTGAAAATTTCGTCCAGCTGTTGAATATCCAGTAGATCGCATTTATAGAATGTGATTTCTTTTCCAGTAATCTTTTGCACCCTGTCCAGACTAGCGGCTTGCTTTTGTCCAACGCTGTTGGCAAAGTTATCGATGGCTACTACATCATATCCAGCGTCTAGCAGAGATAAGACACAATGACTACCGATGTATCCTGCTCCTCCGGTAACAAATACCGTTTTAATGATTGTCATAATTATTTGTAATTATTTTATTTATTTTTTTAATTTAATAAATATTAATTGTATTTAATGTACGAATGCGTTAAAAAAAAGATAATATTTTATTCAATTTGTAAAAGACAGCGATATTTTTCTTATTACGCAAAGTACATTTATACAACACACTTCACGTTTGGTAAAAGACTCACCACAAACACGTACTCTCACGTATTGTAGTATTCGATATGGGAACTTAACATAACTGTCCTTGGCCTTGGCCGTACTCCGAAGATGATTCTATCTGAAGTGGGGACGATAAAAATCAATGGTCGAAGTGAGTATACCTAATATCTAAGAGTTGTGATTAACAGTAGTTCATGTTGAGCTCAGAACTGGTTTCTACCTTATGCCACGCGATTATCTTCGTTATTCATGTTGTGCGATGCAAGATTACAGGTACATAACACGTCATATGAGATTATTAAAATACTACATTATCTCAATTTTATTTTAAGATTTTTATATCATAAAATATTATTTAATATTATTGAAATCAAGATTAAAGTTATATTTTTGTTGCATAACGATTATGTGGTATATGTTAACACAAATAACAAACTAAAATGCGTTAATTTTTAATGAAAAATAATAGGTACGTAATAAGTAATAATTAATGAGAAAATAAATGTGGATTTCAACGTTCCTTTTTTAACGAATGTGAGCACAGATACTGGTATTTTCAGTTTTATCAGTAAATAATTGAATAAATTGAATAAACAGAACAATAATAATAAATTGTTGTATGTACTAATATATGTCATGTGAGTAATTTTAGAGACTTAAACTTTGATGCAATTATTATTATAAATTGTGTAAGAGTTGGTGTTGTATGGAATTTAATACGTTCTATATAATATCTGCATGCAAGTATACTATAACTTTTCAATAATAAAGAATTATCAATGTTTACCTGAATCAGTGTTATTGTATTAGTACCATATTTATGAGATATTACATAAAAAAATAAAATAAAATTTGATCATTAAATTAAATAATGTAGTACAATTTGGTACACAATCAATAAATTGATAATAATAATAGACATGTCTTTTCCTTGTATATCTTTTTAAATTGTTTTAAATATTATTTTAAATTCGTTAATAAAATAAAAAAGTGCAGTGTGAAAAGTGGGAAATTGTGGTTGTAATTGAATTATGCATGTCGTCACGTTAGCCATTAATTATGTCTTATGGAAACGGATATAGTTACTGTTTACGGTACCATTGACGGCTATTGAGATCATTAGTATCTTACCATCGTATTTTATTGAAATTTAATCGCAGAAGAATATATATTATAAGTATACCTTAATAATATATGATATTATATACCTATACTATAAGTATATATTAATATCAGTGGCGGTTCTGGTAGTATTTTTTCGGTGAGGCAACATAATGTATCACCCCCCCTCCCTCCATACAAAATTAGAATTCACAATAAATGTAATTTAAAAACAAAAATAATTATAATTGTATGAATGCTAATAATATACTTGTTTCGTATAGTAAGTGATAGATAGGTAATAAACAGAGCATTTTAAAATTTGGTGGTCCTGAAAAGGACCTTTTGAGTAGGTATGCCTAGTCCTGAAAATTACTTTTTAAGTTGGTATGCCTAGTCCTGAATAGGACTTTTTAAGTAGGTATGCCTAGTCCTGAAAAGGACTTTTCAAGTAGGTATGTCTAGTCCTGAAAAGGACTTTTAAGTATGTCTAGTTCTAAAACTATTAATTAACTAAATTAAACTACCACGTCTGTCACTGGATACGTCATAACTCCAACAGTAATTAATTTAATAATGTTTATTACAATAAACTGCAGCACTCGCACATATATTTTAACGCAGACGTTAAGACGAAACCACCGAAAACGGAAAAAGTGTAAGACACAAGCGAATATTCGTACAAGACGTCAAGACAGAAATGACTAATGAATAAATAATGATAAATATAAAATTATTATCAATAGATATTACAACGGACAACGGTTTAATTAGGACTGTCCCGAATCTCGATTGTAACAATAACATCTTTACTGATAATGTGTTTTTACGTTGAAATGCCGGCTGACTATATATTCCTGTATACCGAGTCTATTTTTATTTCATAGGCGATGTAAGTCGAGCCTCACAATGATCATTACGCATGCGCAACTCTAGTTATTTTATAGTCGCGTGCATTCGCGTACATACGCTTGTGTGTGTAATTCATGTACACAATAGTACATACTCTGAGGCGGAGTTGAACGGTGCCTTCTGACGTCATCGGAACATTACCGCCGGTTGAAACACCAGCGTTTGTTTACGTAATACTTATATTTTCATTCATTTCTTATCGGTTTATCACTATTTTTGGTAATAAACACTAATGATATGATTTACCATTATTTTACAATATAATAAATGATAATTCATATTGTTAAACTTGGCAAAGAAGATTTTTTCTCAAATAAAATCATAAAAACGTTAAAAATTAATATCAAATTTTTATATGCTATCGGTGGGCCAAAATATATACTTTAATAGTATTTTTTACTTAAAATTGTAGGTTAGGCGGCGCCTCACTTGCCTCACCCCCAAAACCGCCACTGATTAATATCGTTTAATTTCATGTCACAAAAATTGATACGTGTAGTTGGCACCAGTGGCGTATTCAGGATTCATTTAACGGGGGTGTTTTAAAATTAAGAGCCTCTGCCCCCTCCCCCGTATTAAATAAATTCCATGTATTTATATAAACGAAAATTATTACATTAAGACAGCATATGTAAAACCTACAAGTTGTATACAACGTTTTTTCAAATAATCAAAGTAAGTTTACAATTTGGTGAAATACTATAAAATAAGGTCGATGGGGGGTGTTCTAACACCCATATCACCCCTCTCCCCTAAATACGCCCCTGGTTGGCACTACAAATTTCGTAAACTATTCTAAAAACAATTTATCCTACTCTACCCAGACTATTTTTGATCATTGATGGATATAATAATCAACCATATTTTCCAACGCTATTATAATTACAGTTTATTGGAATATTTTGCGAGAACATTAAATGAATATTTAATTAATTTGTATTTTATTGATAAATATAATTGGTACGTTTAACTTAATAAAATGTATAATTTAGTTTTTTTCTCTCATTATATCGGAATTTATAAAACCCATATTATCAAATTCAGGTCCACTAAGTCCTTTAACATAACATTTATTGTATGTATATATATAACATATATTGGACAAAAAATTATGGAAATTAATTTTTATGATCCATAGACCACTTAAACTACTTCCGTATCTATATCTTATATTTATCTTTAGACTCTTAACTAGGTGATGTGAAAAACTAATTTTATAACAAAAAAAAATGAAAATCCAATTTTAATCTTGTTTCAATTTTACTATGTTTAAAAAACCACCCATTAAGTTAAAATATTTAGGAAGGACATATGTTTTTGTATTTAAATGATATGGTAGCTTTACCTTATATCTTTAAATGTTTACTCAAATTGTTATTTTTTGATTATCTAAATAATAATTTGTAATTATTAAAGTGTTGGTAATATTATAACATTTTGTTGTGTATTCATTCACATTTAACGACTGTAAATATTTCCAACTATAGTATTCCGAAAAATGACTCGTAAAAATTAAATATTTTCGGATAAGAATAGTTAATATAGCGGAAATAGTTTTTAAGAGAATTTTCAAATTACCATAAACATTTTATAATTATTACTAGTATATTATGCTTAGTAGTTAATTCAATATACTTAAAAATAAATTAGATTTAATCAATTTTTAAATAGAAGTTCTATACATTATTTTAATAAATAATAATGAGAGCATTCTTAAATGTTGTTTCTTAGTAGTATATTAGAATATAAATTTTAGTACTAAAATCATTTTGTATTTTTTATTGATTAATTTTTTTTTCTTTGATAATTTATTTTTTAATTTGAATAGTACACACATATAAGTGTACAAAAACAATCTTATAGCAGAAACGCAATCTTCTATTTTAAAGAGCGTATCAGAATTTATGAAAGTTATTCTATACATTTTCGGTATTTCTTTATAATTATTACTTGTAATTTTTTTACTCTTAGTTTTAAAATGTATAAAGTTACATAATTTGTGTTAATACTTATACATAGTGCCTAATTTATAGCTATTTAACAACATAATTTTTTTTCTAGCATTCCTTGATTAAAAAAATATATAGTAATCATAGCATTAATGTTGTTATCATCAATAACCGTATAAGGTCACACGTAGTAAAATTTTGAAATAAACAAACATGTATCAATGAAAACATTTCCGAAAAAATCTCCGTATTCTGAGGAGAATTGGGGTAGATTATAATTGTTTCATAAAATTTCTATCAGATATTTTTATTGAGAATATCCTAATATAGGTAGTTAATAATTTATATTTTTAGTTTAAAGAACTTTACAGTTTCTGTTAATTATTTGGATTTTTAATCTTATATTAATGTATTATAACATTTATAGCAAACTTAAAATTTATATGGAACGTAAATTAAAAAAAAAAAAAAAGTAGGTATGTATAAGCATTCTATATTTGTTGAATAAATCGTTAGTTTTATTTCTATTTAATTAACAACTTTCTTCAAAAATTACGTCATTAACGTGCATTTTATGGTGAAATAACTTATTAACTTAACGATAGTTTGTCACGAATTTCATACAATATTTGTTTTTATATTTGTAGCTTAAATTAACAATTAGGTACACATAATAATTACATTCTTAAAAAATACAATTAAAATTTGGCAAATAATAAGCAGATGCAATTGCCATGCTATAAATTTAAGTTGTAAAAAGTTATTATGAGAAAAAAATAGTTGGGGTATTAACAATAATGATAATGGTAATGAAAGCGCAATGGAAAAATAATGATAGAAAATGTTTCACATAAACATTATTGGTGGTAATTAAAAGTAATTTGAGTATGGTTGTTGGTTTATGGATGAAAGATTTCAAGGATTTTCAGAAAATATAATGTAAATATAATATAAAATAATAAGTCGAGAACAAGACTGATTTTATTCCGTGATGGTTGTCCGTAGCATGACCAACAAAAAATTATTATAATATAAAAGAAACATTTGAGAACGGATTTTAAAATAGAACAGAAAGTAATATGGTTATTTGTATAGGCAATTCAAGGGTATTAATGTATTTCGTAACAAAACAAGTTCATAAGATCGTAATATTATGTCCAATAAATCTGAATAAAGTTTTTTAGAATATTTTGTAAACTTTATGATGTCGAATTTTCGTGTTCTAGTACTATAGTAATACTATAGTAATATAATTCACTAAAATAAAATATATTGTTGGATGTACTAATTTTAAGAAAGACAAATTCTAAAACACTTTTCAATGGTAATTTTTAAGAAACCACCTCAATTTGTAGTTTCATGAAAAATTGTCAGAACGGTATTTAAGAGAGGGTTTGAAATGGTAGTTGTTCCTGGCGGCAATATTAGAATTAGGTTTAAAGATGGCAGAATATTAGAATGGTTAAAAATTTAAAATTTATTTATAGCTGATTTTACCTAATAAGTATAATAGTACAAAAATATATTATAAAATAAAGAGTGTTCCATAAAGTGCGCATCCTTTAAAACAATATTAAAACAGTTACATACACTAAGTGAAAATAATAATAACAAAATTAATTTTTTTAAGATTTTATTTACTATTCATTCTCGGAATAACTATAGGAATCATAAAAATATTTTATACTTAGTTTCCAATTCTTTCAAAAGTTTATATATGAAATTTCCTAAAAGTAAAAGCAAATCGTTAAACAAATCAATGGTATAGTATTATTTAGTTCGGAGTTTAAATAATTTATTTATATTATACCGCTTAATTATGATTAATTATGATTAATTATAATTAACTCTTCGGTTTTGGTTAAAACCTATAATAACAGTAAATTTATTGAAATGTATACATTTGTACATTAAATTTAATTGAGTAGAAAAATTCATTTTTAATCCAACCGATTTATATATTATCATGATTTACAAATAACGTCACTATAATAAGTTGTTTCAGATTTTCGCTGGAATGAGGTTTTCTTCAATTGAGGTGAGCGTTGTATAATGTTGAGTAGTTTGTGCATTTTCAATAAGCTTAACTGACACACATGTATTTAAAAATGCAACAAAAGTAATTTCAACTATATTTGTTATTACAAATTAATTACAGACCTACTTCAAATACACGACGCTTACAAACAGTGCCTTAAATACTTAAACTTTATATGTTTATATAAAAAACTATTTGGCAGTAAGCATGTAATAAATCAACTAATATCATAAAAATTTTTGGTGATGATCCGGCTAGATTATCGAATTTAAATATCGTAAAATGAATACGCTACCACAAAACAGTGAAAGCTCCTTTCTTGTGTTCAAAAAGTAAAACACATCACCCCCTCACCATCCACCACCATAAATTCACCCCTGTATCGTATATAATTTCAGATATGAAGTAGAACAAAACACCATAGATATTATTTGAGTTTATTATACAATTATGGCCTGAAACTTTTACTATAAAATTATGATGAGATTACAATAAAAAAAAAAAAAGATTAAAAATAGCCACAAACTATAATATAACTATACTATATTATACTTTATAATTTTTATTTTAATGAGGCTATACGTCTGTTTATTAAATAATGGTATTTCAACGTAAAATACATATTTTGAGTGTATAATACCTATACCTATACCTACAGTTTTTGATTCATACATCGAACGTTTAAACATTAAAATTGTTATAAAAATTTGGTACGTTTTATATGTTTTAAAACATGTTAAGGCAAAGTAAATAAAAACAGTTTGAAATATTTATCTGAAGAAATTCGCCATTTAACATTATATTTATTGCAACATTTTTCAGTTGTGATAAATATCCGTACAAGACAATTATTTATTTCCATGAACCATGTTGTTTATTTCACTTAGTTTATATTTCTCCGCTTATAAATCTATATTAAAAGAAAAATATTTGCTAAAACCCCAAGTATATATTGCTACATGATCACTCGTGGTCTTACAAATAAAAAGGCATAATAACATACATTTTTATAACTTTTGGTTGAATTAAAACTAACCTTGTTCGAATCATTGCCTACAGTCTTGTATTATAAAATAACAATGAACTGTATTACTAAATGGTAATTATATTTGA